AGAGTGGCTAATCAGGGTCCAGGAACCAGGTTTCCCACCCCCAGGCCAGCCCCCAAATGCTTTTCTCTTCTCCAGCTGTCGGAATATTTCTGGGGGGTCCTCCCTCAGCCTGTGGGCTATATGCTGCGGAATCTGCTGCTCTGCCCAGGCCCCCGACTTCAGAAAGGATAAGAAGAGGCTGAACTAGGGCAGACCCTGAAGCCAGGCAAAGATGCATGTGGTGGGGCGGGTAGGGGTGTGCATAGGAGGAAGTAGGATGTCTTCCCACCCCCGCAGAAGGCCCCAGGGGAGTCCAGGCTCTGAGAGAGAGAGCAGCAACAGGGGAGGGTCTGTAGGCCTAGAGCTCCGTTCCTTCAGGAAAGGGTCTGACTCCCTTTGCTGCATCCCGTGGGCTTGGGAGTGTTGGGGCTGGGCTCCAGTGGGCAGGCCGGCCCTGGGCCTCGGGCTTAGGCTGTAGTTCTGGTTCTGCAGAGTATGGCTGGAGGAATGGGGTTTTGGCTGATTGTAAATGAGTAACCTTGCTCCTGCCTCCAGGGCTTGTGGGACAAGGAGGCCACATTGGACTCTCAGTTCTGGCTTGGCCTAACCTGGCTCCCAGGCTCTCCTGGATGGGAGACTGCTGGGGACAGAGGCAGAGGCAGAGGCAACCCCCCTTGGGCCACTGCTTCCGCATCCCATCCCAGACAGGTAGAGAACCCATTTCCTCTCAGTCTAAGCCCCTCTACTCCTTCACTGACCTCTCCCCTCCCAGATCTCCTTTCACTTCCTCTTTTCTGGCCTTGCCCTGTCACTGAACCCCACCTTCTCCTCCTAAAGGCACCCTCCTGAGTTACCTCCCAGCTCCTGGTAAACTCCTTCCTCCTCACTGAGACCCTTCCCCCCACCGAGTCTTCTCTTTGCTGGCTCCCCACCCCGTCACTGAGCTCCTTCCCCTTTTCTGAACTTGGGGGCCCCTCTCTGAGCCCACACCCCTTTCTCCCGCTCTCCAGGAGTCATCTCCATCAATCATTCCCCTTGACTGCACATTCAGCTTTGTCACTCCGTCCCCGTTTCCTAACAGAATGGTTTCCAAAGGAACCAACAAACATGAGGGAGTGACATCCAAGCTTCAGGTCTTTTCCTGGTACCTCAGAAAGTGACCTAAAGCTAGGGTGCACTTACTATTAATAGCAACCTGCTTCCTCTTCTTTGGGTCATAAAGGGTGACTCCATGCCAATGTTCTTACCTAGGAGAATGAGGACTTTTATGGAACTAAGTGGAGGCTCTCTGTGGTATTCTTCCAACCCATCTGGCTCCACAGTGACCTTTTGTTTTAGCTTGGGATGTGTGTGTGTGTGTGTGTGTGTGCACGCTATAGGGAGAAAGTTACAGTAATTTAGAAATACTTTCAGGAAATATTTTCAAATACCTGTCCTATGAACCTAGCTTCCCCTCAAGTCGCCAGCTGTGCATGGCCCATGATTCCTCTTTTTTTTTTTTAATTCTCGCTAATCCTTTTTGTTTGTTTTTTCTTTAAATTTTATTGATTTAAAATTTGTTGTCAGAGACTATTGTTGTTGTTATGTGCCATCAAGTCGGACCTGACTCATAGCAACCCCTCCTTGCATTTCCGAGGCAGTATTTCTATGGAAGTAGATTGTCCTACCTTCCTTCTGAGGAGTGGCTGATGGGTTTGAACCACCAGTCTTCTGGTTAGCAGTCAAGTGCCTTAGGCACTATGCTACCAGAGCTCCTAGTCAGAGACTATACATAGCAAACATAGCAAAACATATACTGATTCAACCGTTTCTACATTTAGTTTCGTGACATCGATTACGTTTTTGAAGTTGTGCAACCATTCCCACCCTCTTTTTCTGAGCTATGCCTCCCCCACTGACATAAGCTCAGTGCCCACCAAGGTTCCTGTCTAATCTTTAAGTTACTGTTGTCACTTTGATCCCATGTGGATAGTTCTTACAAGAGCATACTGCTCAAGGCAGACCTTTGTTTTACTAGTTAAGCTAAGCTATCGTTCAGTTTTAAGAAGACTTCAGGGGATATTTTTGGTTTAAGGTTTAAAGGTGATCTAGGGCAATAGTTTCAGGGTTTCTTCTACCCTTCATGGCTCTGGAAGTTGTAGAGTCTGTGGAAATCTGAAATTTTGTTCTGCACATTTCTCTTTTGATAAGCATTCTGCTATGGAATCTTTGATCACAATGTTCAGTAACGGTAGCTGGAGACCATCCAGTTCTTCTGGTCTCATGGCCAAGGAGGCCGTTGTTCATGGAGGCAATTAGCCACACTTTCCATGTCCTCCTCTTGTTCCTGACTCCCCTTCCTTTGTTGTTCCAGGTGAATGGAAACAATTGTTGCAATTCGGATGGCTGCTTGCAAACTTTTTTTAAGACCCCATGCAATGAACTAAACTGGAAAACCAAACTCACTGTCATCGAGTGGATTCTGACTCTTAGCGACCCCCTTTGGGTTTCTGAGGCAGCAAATCTTTATGAAAGTAGATTGTCTGCAATGAACTACCAAACCTAAAACCAAACTCACTGCCTTTGAGTCCGGCCTGACTCATAGCGACCCCTCCTTGAGTTTCGGAGGTGGTATCACTACAGAAGTAGATTGCCCAACCTTCCTTCCGAAGAGTGGCTGGTGAGTTCAAACCACCAGCCTTCTGGTTAGCAGTCAAGTGCCTTAGGCACTACGCCACCAGAGCGCCCCTGTAATGAACTAGGAGGTAGAAAAGAAGTACTAAATACATTATTAGGTCTATTAACTGGGATGTCCCATGGAACCATGACTCTGAATCTCCAAACCAAGGAATCAAATCCCATGAGGTGTTTGATTGAACACAGCAGTCTCAGCAGCTACTCTTTTTTTTTTTTTTTTTGGGGGGGGGGTCATTGTTGTAAATATATCTATCACACAAATGCAACTTTTTACAGGTGGACAACTTCTTGACAGCAATTACAGTAATTGATTGTGCAACTCAACCCTTCATCAATGCCCACAAATCTCATTTTAAGCAAATGTCTTGGATGCATGGTCTAGTACTGTTTTACTTCCATCACTCTCCTGTCCACTGCTTTGTCTCCCACCCTGCTTGCCAAGGCCACTGATGACCACCTTGATGCTCTTAATCTCACGGCCACTCTTTAGGCCTCTTCTTGCTTGACCTCTTCCATAGTCTCGGACACTGTTGCCAACACCTACCTTCTTGAAACCATTTTTTTCTTTCGGTTTCTAGTGACCTCATCCACACCCCTGGTTTCGGTTGCCATCTGTTTGCTAACAGCTCCTAAGCTTATCACTCCCTAGTTTCAGATCTCTATATATGTGCTCCTACTTCCTGGACTGCCAAGCTCTATACGTTCAAAACCGAACCCATCACCTTCTCCATCGACCTAGTCCCCTGTGCCTCCTAAATTGGTAAATGGTCCCATTATCCTAGCAGTGACATAAGGCAGAAAACTTGGGGTTACTCTAGATTCTTCCTTCCGACCCAACCAGCTTATCCAACGAGCTCTCAAGCCCTGCTCCTCTTGCTTTCTTGCCCAAACCCACCAGCCCTTGCATGGCATGCCAGGAGAGCCACATAGCCTCTTAGATGGTCTCCCCGCCTCCACCTCCCTCCTCAAACCCCAACTCCTGGACAGGTTATGGTTATTTCAGACCATAAATCTGACCAGGTACTGAGGTCCAAAGTCTGGGATTCCACGCAGGGGACTGTCATGACTTGGCCTCTGCTGAGCCCTAGGGCCTCAAACTGCCATTTCCTCTCTCCCTTTGCAATCTGGCCAAGGGGAGTCTCTCACTCTATCACAATAGCTTCAGGCCTCTTTTCCTCCCTGCCTCCCCTTCCCCAGCCTTCTCCAACAAATCAGTGCTTCTCAACATTGTCTACCTCGAGCACAAGGCATCACTTCCCATTTTAAGGCCCCTTCTTTCCCTCCCTTGAGGTTCCCCTCTACCTCTCCTCCAGCTGAGAAGATTCTGCTCAACTGGACATTTCCGGTGCTGTGTTTTACAAAAACAATGGATGTTCTGTTTCCTTTTTCTAAATATGAAATAAGGAGCTCTGGTGGCGTAGTGCCTAAGGCACTTGAGTGCTAACCAGAAGGCTGGTGGTTCAAATCTACCAGCCATTCCTTGGAAGGAAGATTGGGCGATCTACTTCTGTAGTGATACTGCCTAGGAAGCCCAAGTAGAGGTCACTATGAATCCCAGACGACGGCACATAACAACAACAACAAATACGCAATCACAGTACCGACTGTGCTCACAGGTGTGCAGTCGCTGTCTGGAGGATCGATGGCCTGGTCAGTGTTCCACTCCAAAACCCAAATGGCATCTCTTTGAGAAGTGGGTCTCTGACACATCTCCCCACCACCTCCATCCAGACACCACTCCGGAAGGGCTTCGGTGTGTCCGTCTTTCTCCACCATTGCGGCCTGATGCTCAGTGAGCAGCGAAGAGGCGCCACCTAGTTCAGTTTAAACCCCACCTTTTCGGTTACTGAACCCCTGCCCCTCTCTAAGTTCCAGCTCGGCAGGGGGAGCGCATTGTGTGGCCCAGGGAGACACGGAAGGGGGCGCCCTGCAGGGCGGTGGAGGTCTGTCGGTGCTGGGGACAAGGAGGCGCCGGCAACTGCAAAACGAAAGGTTTTTATTGAAAAAAAAAAAACATCAAGTAGCCCGGGTCAAGGCTGCCAATCCAGGCCCATCTTGGGCTTTGGGGCCGCGACCCGGGGTGGGGGTGGGGGCTGGGCAAGTGGCGGCGGTCACCCCAGCTTCGTGAGGTTTCAGTGTCCGTTCTGGTTGGTCCCTGTGCCCTGCAGTCCCGCTCCTGCGGCCGTGGAAGGGTGGCGACTGGGAAGGGGGCGTCGGGCCGTGCCCTCTCCGTCTCCAGGGAGCTGCCTGGCATCTGGGGCTGGGCTGGTCTCCGAAGCAAGGCTGCACCCCGGACTGGGTGGGCGCTCCAGCTGGTGGGCAGGGGGTCTCCTGGCGTCTCCCACTCAGACGTAGTCCTTGCGGTCGTAGGCGGTGCCGGCCCCACTGACTGGCCCGGTGGAGCGCGGCGCCGAGTAGAGGATCTTGGCGGGCACGTACTTCTTCTCGCGAGGCGGGCAGGAGCAGCAGAGCAGGGCGCCCCCCAGCAGCTGCAGCGCCGCGGCCGCCCAGCCCACGTACAGGCCCGAGCCCATCTCGCGCTTCTGCGGCTCGGGCACCAGTGGGTTGTAGAAGTCCCGGATGATGGTGTTGGCCGACCAGGACACCGGCACGAGGGTGAGCAAGGCGGCCAGCAGGAAGAGCACGCCCGCCACGATGGTGATCTTGGCCTTGGCGGTGTCGTCCTGCACGCAGTTCGTGCACTGGGCGCCCACGAGCGCAACGAGGAGGCCGAAGGCGGCCAGCAGGATGGCGACGACGATGAGCGCGCGGGCCGCCTGCAGGTCCTGCGGCAGCGCCAGCAGGGAGTCGTACATCTTGCACTGCATCTGGCCGGTGCTCTGCACCACGCAGTTCATCCACAGGCCCTCCCAGGTGATCTGCGCCGTGATGATACTGCTGCCGATGAAGGCCGTCACGCGCCACATGGGCAGCGCGCAGCACACGATGGTGCCCAGCCAGCCCAGCACGGCCAGCGAGGTGCCGGTGATCTCCAGGCCCATAGACATGGCTGCGGCGCCAAAGCCGGGTCAGCCGGGCGGCTCCGGGTGCGGGACAACGAGCTGCGGAGTGCCGACGGACGGACGGACCGACGGGTGCGCGGACGGCGAGCGCTAGCCGCTCGGCTCTGCACGCTGGCGCCGCGGCCGCGCCGGCACTTGTCTCGGGCTTTGTGGGCTGGCGACGGCGACTGGGCTGGCCCTGAGCTGGGCTGGTGAGTCTTAGCTCGGGGCCCGAAGCTCCGCAGGGGCGGGAGGGGCGGAGCCGTGCGCTCCCGGGCCGCGGACGGTGACGTGGCTCGCACCCTCTCCACCTTCTCCCGAGCGGTGGCGCACGGCGCGGGGTGAGGGGTTCTCGAGAGGGCGGGGCCTGTGTCCCGCCCCTTGTCCTCATCCCCACTGCTCAGGATCCACTCTCTGGGAACGCCCGAGGGTGCTTCAGGGATCTGGGGTGCAACCCACAATTTGCTTGGCCTTCCCCCACTTTCGGCCCGATTGGCACGGGCAGTGTGGGGCAGGTTCCCGCGGACGCGGGACGCGGAGGCCCCCCGTGTGGGCGTGGCTGCGCTGTTTGCAGAGAAGGCCGCTGGCCGGGAGCAGCGCACCTGCTCCGCGAGTCCTTGGCCTCGCAGACTGCATCCGCCGCTGCTCACTGGCGGCCTGAAGCAGCCCCGCGGGTTAGTCCAGCCCTGGAGGTTCTGGGCCCCCGAGCCAGGAGCCGCTTGCCAAATGCAAAGGCACCTGGAGAGGCCCCTGAGCCCAGTGCTGAGTTCGAATCCTTCTCCAGCCGGCTCCAGCTCCCTTCCTTCAGCCTTCGCTGTGAGTCAGGGAGCCCTTTAGCTGAGCCGCGCTCTCCTCCCAAAGCCCCCTGCCTTGGAGACCCTCTCCTCACAGAGCCTGTGTCTTCCCTTCTTCCTCTGAGCCCCACTCAGTGCCAAGGTCCACCTTACAAGAAGGGATCTTGAAAGAAGTTTGGTCCAGGCAAAAGTGGGAAGTCAGAACCTTGTCGTCAGTGCCCTTGGCCCCACACCTGGGCTGGCCCTCACCCTGTTCAATAGCCCTTCAGAGTGGAAGCCCTAGTCTCCACAGTGGCCTCGGAGATTGGTTGGTCTGCGTACCCTTACTCCATCTTATCTTCCCCTCACTCCAATTCTTGGGCCTCCTGGGGGCTACGCTCCCACCTCAGGGCCCCTGTGCTTAATGGTTTTCTTTGTGTGGAAACCCCCTCTCCCCCGTACCCATGTGACCTACTCCTTCCTTTCCCCTTCTGCAGCTTTTTCTCCCAGTAAGGCCTTCTCTTTCCATCTTATTTAAAATTTGCACCTCCTTATCCCACAATGCATCCTGTTTGTACCTTATATTCATTTAACGTTCAGCACTATCTGACATACTTTCTATTTTCCTTACTTATTTCGTATCGTCTCTCTTCCTGCTCCAGAATATTAGCTCCACGAGGACGAGGATTGTGCTGGTTTTATTCACTGCCATGTCCCCAGTGCCTACTGGGTGCTGGGTACTCAAGACATATTTGATCCAGTGACTTGAATGAAGAAGAAGCATTATTTATTCATTTATTTATTTTTCGTGCTTCCTCAGCCCAGCCTGGCCAGGCCTTCCTACTGGAACACATGACTGATGGTGACTTACCACTGGGTTACCTGAATCTGTTAGGAACCAAGGGCTCTTCCAACTGAGACGTGAGTTGTCGCTGAACTGGGCCTAAAGACTTTTCTAGTTTGCCCCACATCTCTCAAATTGCAGACATGCAGCCTACCTCCTCTTCCGGAAGTGGCCAAGCCTGGGGATGACAAGAGGACACAAAGCAGAGGTATGGAAACCAGGATCTGGCTTCTGGCAGGGGCAAAGGTTTCCAGCTGGGCCTGTTGGGGCTGGGTTGGGCAAGGTTGGGAGTGCCAGGCCTAGTGCCGAGCTGGTGGGGGTGGGGGCTGTACCCTGGTCTCTTGGCTGCTACATTGGGGTGGCTTTGGGCCAGCAAAGAGGCACATCTCCGTGAAATGTGGGGCTTAGGTCACGAAACTGAGCCCCACGGGACTCCCAGTGAAGCCAGGTTTGGGTGCTGTGCGTTTTGTTTCTTGCTAACTTGGAGGCCCGGGAGAATGACCCCTCTAAGCTGCAGTTTCCTCCTCTGTAGAGTGAAGATGACATCTGCGTTGGCCCACGTCACAACGTTGTGGTGAGAATGGAGAAGACAGAAGTGTACTGCAGACCAGAAAACAGCAAGATCGGGGCACACACATGTGCAGAGGTGCTGTGTGGAGAAAGAGTGGTGATGTAGTTGGACAGACAGACCTGGCTTTGAATCCCGGCTCCTCTCAGTTTTCTTGTCTGTGAGGAGGGAGTGTTCTGGGTTGCTTGGGTTCGGGGGTGCAGGCAGGAAGTGCTGGTTCGCTCCTGAGCCTGAGTTCAGTGGACTTCCTGGGCAGGGCTGTGCAGATGAGGCAAGGGGACAGAGAGCTTTGAGCCCTGGGGACAAATTTCAGGGACTGGTAAATAAAAACTTGGCTCTGCAAACAGCTCCAATCAGCCTTTAGTCTGGGGAATGCACCCCAGTCCGACAACTCAGTAATAAAACAACAAATTAGTTGTGAGTTCCTGTCAAATGGATTCCGACTCATGGCAACCCTGCTGTGCAGGGAGGGGTTTTCAAGGTAGTGACTCTTTCTGGAAGCTGATTGCCAGACCTGTCCTCCAAGGAGCTTTTGGGTGGGTTTAAATGGCTATCTTTTTTTTTTTTTTTCCCAATTATTTTGCCAGAGAAACAGACCCAGCTAATACTGGTCTTACAGAATGAGTTGGGAAGTGATCCTTCCTCTTTGATTTTTTGGAAGAGTTTGTGAAAAATTGCTATTCATTGTTTTTTAAATTTTTGATAGAAATTACCACCTAAACCACAGGGCCTGGGTTTTTCTTTTACTTTAGGAAGAATGAAGTCTTTTATTTTTTTCCCACAGAGCAGAGTTTGTTTTACATTCAACATTACATGTACATTTAGTTTCACTCCCCATTTACCATGCCCAACCCTAACCTACTCTCCTCCCTTCCCTGCCTAGTAACCCTCCCCCATGCCCCTCATAGTCATGCCTTCTGGCGTGTCCCACATTACTTCCATGTGAATGTTGCCCCTCTGGTGCCCCGTGGTCAATTGCTCCAAGGGATGCATTTTCATAGAGTATGTAGATGCGTCACCCTGGGTTGAGTGGTCTGCATGTACATCTTATTTACTATTGGGCTGAGAGGCAGCCCCTGGGGGTGAGTTTTATTCCAGGCCCAGAATGTATCTCAGGGCCATAGTATTGGGGGTCTCACCAGACTCCATCCAACCAGTAATTCTGGTCATTATTGAGTTTTTGGATTTTGTTCCATGTTTTTCCTTCCACTCTATTCAGGATCTCCAGGTTTGATCCTTTCCTGAGTGGTTGGCATTGGTAGCTGGGCACCATCTAGTTCTTCTGGTCTCTAGGGCCATTGTGTCCTAGGGCTGATGCTTCCAAATGCCCTTGGTTTTTCTTACTCTTCTTTGCTTCCGATGATAGGAGACTATTAGCTGCATCTTAGATGGCTGCTTGAAAGCTTTTAGACCCCAGTCGCTCCTCGTCAATGTAGGTTGAGGAACATGATTTTTATGTATTTTGTTGTGCCAGTTGAGTCTGGTGTCTCCCAGTACTATGGTCCTGAGTCAGTAGATCCATTGGATCTCTCTCCCACAGTGTCTGGGTGTCTGTGAGGGATTGCTCTATGTCTGTCTTCTATTGTTTCTGTAAGGATTGCAGGCATTTTGTCTCACTGGTATCTGTGCAAGATTAGCCTCTGCTGAATCTATCCTTGGTTTAGAGTATACTTCTGTTCACTGACCCCCATCTGATCTTCTCAGATATTTATGTGTTTATCTGTAGCCTGGTGTTTGGTGTTAATGGTAATGCAGTACTGTGGATATACTGGTCGGTATTAGCATCTGTCATCTATCTCTTATGTGCACAATTCGGTGTCCTCCCTTTTCCTAATATTATCATGGTGGTCACAGACTCTTTCTCTTCCTTCCCTCCTCTTACTCATGTCAGCGTGTGGCCCCCAACTAGCCCGAAATTAATCCTTCCCCTTCCCTCCCCACCCCGGTAATCTACAAAGTGTGTTCTCTTTCTCAAGCAAACCCTTCTTTGTCTTTTTACAGTAATGGGCTCATATAGTATTTGCCCTTCTGCGATTGACTTACTTCACTCAGCATAAACTGCTAACTTTTTGATTAGTAATAGAGTGCTTAACCATTTGTGCCATCCAAGTAAAAAGACAAATAACCTAATTTAAGAATGGGCACAGGATCTAAACAGATATTTCTTCCATATAAATGGCAAATAAACACAATAAACGACTGGGTGTTGTTTGTCATGAGGGAACTGCAAATCAGAATCACAGTGAGATGCCACTTCATATCCCCTGACCCCAAAACCCACTGCTGTGGAGTCGATTCTGACTCACAGTGACCCTATAGTACAGAGTAGAACTGCCCCAGAGGGTTTCCAAGGCTGTCAATCTTTACAGAAGCAATCTGCCTTCTCTTTCTCCCATGGAGCAGCTGGTGGGTTTGAACCACTGACCTATTATTAGTTAGCAGCTGAGTGCTTAACCACTGTGCCACCAGCGCTCACAACCACTAAGATGGTTATTATCAGAAAAACATTAACAAGGATTGGCTAGGATGTGGAGAGATTGAAACCCTCATATGTTGCTGGTTGTTGTTGTTGTTGTTGTTGTTATGTGCCATCGAGTCGGACCCGACTCATTGCGACCCCTCCTTGGGTTTCCGAGGCAGTATCACTACGGAAGTAGATTGCCCTATCTTCCTTCCAAGGAGTGGCTGGTGGGTTTGAACCGCCAGCCTTCTGGTTAGCAGTCAAGTGCCTTAGGTACTATGCTACCAGAGCTCCTATGTTGCTGGTAGGAATGTAAAATGGCAGAGCTGGTTTGGAAAAGAGTGTGACAGTTCCTCAAAA